GTTATATTACAAAATAATTTACCATTACTTACGGCACTATTGTCTTTGAATTTTTTTTTTTTTGAATTCTTAAAAATGCATTTTGCCGCTGTATTCGTGCGTTAAAGAGAAAGTGCATTCGTGGATTTTGAATTGCTTGTGCAAACTATATATTATATTCCTATTACTGAATAAATAATTTTATAGCTTGATCCATTATTCTTTTTTTTTGGTTTCCCATCTGGTGTCTGGTACCCGCATTGGAGCCCGACTATATCCGGATTCACGCGGCGTAAGGCCCCATTCGGGGGGAAGCGCTCTCTACCAAGGATTTTTTCATACGCAGGGCTCGAAACTGAGACCTCTGATTAAGGGAAGAATAGTCACAACCACTGCACCACAGCTTGATCCATTATTCTTTTTTTTTGGTTTCCCATCTGGTGTCTGGTACCCGCATTGGAGCCCGACTATATCCGGATTCACGCCGCGTAAGGCCCCATTCGGGGGGAAGCGCTCTCTACCAAGGATTTTTTCATACGCAGGGCTCGAAACCGAGACCTCTGGTTAAGGGAAGAGTAGTCACAACCACTGCACCACATCTTTTGGTGGTAGCTTGATCCATTATTCATTGACCATATGACATGATTTGTCGAGTCATAGACTCAAGAATATTGTTGAACGAATGGAACTAATGTTTCATTTTTACTCTTCAAGAGAGGAGAGAAATAGACGTAGCTTTAATGAGAAAATAAAAGAAATCGAGGAAAAATGATGGAAAAGAGTAACTAAAAACCTCTTTAATTCCCAATATGGCTGTCCAACGGGACGGGCCGGCCCGTCCCGTCCCACGACCCGTCCCGGTCCCGTCCCGTCCCGTCCCGTCCCGTCCCGCTAAAAATTAAACGGGATGGGCCAATGTTACGCGGGACACGGGACGGGACGGGACGCCCGTTTCGTCCCGTTTGTCCCGTCCCGTTTCGTCCCGCTTGTCCCGTCCCGTTTCGTCCCGCTTCGTCCCGTCCCGTCCCGCGTCCCGTCCCGTCCCGCGTCCCGTCCCGTCCCGTCCCGCGTCCCGTCCCGTCCCGCGTCCCGTCCCGTCCCGCCTGGTTTTTTTTTTTTTATTTAAAAACTAGCCGTTGGGCAACGACTTAAATTGCAAAAATAGCCGTTGCCAACGGTCCAAAAAGCCCCCACACCCCTCCAAAACACCCCCAACCCCCCCCCCCTCTCCCCCCCCCCCCCAAACTTTTAATATAACCCCTAAGTTTAATATTTGGCATTTTGGCCCTATTTTCTACTATAAATACCCCCCATTCTTCTTCATTTTTTCCCACAAAAAATCAATCTTCTCTCTCAAATCTCTTACATTCTAATATTCTATATTATTCTCTCAATATTGTTACTATCAAGTGATATCTTTCAACTTTCAAGTATTTGGGCAAATTTTTTGGAGCAACTTTCAAGCTTCAAATTAATTCGTCAAGTATTTGGAGCAATATTTCGGGCAATTTCTTCAAGTTTCAATATTTAATCACGGTGCACTCGTTCCATCTCCTAATTTTAATATATAATTTTTGCGTATCATTTTAGTGCTTAATTTTTGTGTTTACTTTACGTGTTATATTTTCGTATTTCATTTGTGTGTGTAATATTTGTGTTAGCTTTTTTAATTTAGTTTCGTATTTAAATTATGGCACCTAAAAATGTATTTGGTATTTTTTAAAAAAGTAGTAAAAAAAGTAGTAAAGGTGAAAGTAGTAGTAATCCTAATCCTAACCCTTCTCCTATACCCCCTAGAGTTCGAACGAATATTGATGAAATGACTCATGTTGATGAAACTTCATTTTCTCAACCCCCCACATTTTATGATGTTCATGTCGGAGAACAATTAGATCATGAAACTTTACAAAGACAATTTGGCAACGATATTTTTTTTGAGGATGAAGAAAATGAGGATGAAGAAAATGAGGAAGAAGAATTAGACGAAACACCCACTAGTCCCGCAACACAAGCTCCAACTCAGAGTCAATCTCAGTCTGGAGCTTTACCCCCTGTAAGGGGTAAGCCTAAGGTTGAACGTCCCAAAACATCACTTGTATGGAATTTTTTTAAACATGATAAAGTCAATCATCGTGCTATCTGTGAAAAATGTAAGCAACAATTTGCACACTCATTAAGTGGTGGGACGGGGGGGTTAACTAGACACTTGAGAAGTGCTCACAAAGATTTATGGATAAAAGCTAACATAGAAGCCGGAAAAATTATAGATCCTACCGTCGGTACTGGCACTCCTAGTGGATCTGGTCCTAACCAAATTCAACAACAACTTGACCCTGCTTCCGGTCATATTTTACACAAATATAACAAAGATAGAGATCGTGAGAACTTAGCAAAAATGGTGGCGGTCTGTGGCTTACCTTTTACTTTTCCTTCTCATCCTGCTTTTGTGCATTATATTCAAGAAACTTATAACCCTGCTTTTCAAGGTTTTCCCAAGACCACGGTTAGAAATGATGTTTTTAAATTTCAGACTGAATATCTTCAGTATATTCGTTGTGTATTTTATCACTTGGATTGTAAAGTGTCCATCACATCTGATATAGGTCGTAGTCCTAATGGTTGTGATTATTTAACTGTTACGTGTCATTGGGTTGATCATCATTGGAACTTGCAAAAACGTATTATTGGTTATAAATTTATTGATTCTAAACACACTGGAGCATATATTGCAACTACTGTTCTACAAATACTTGATTTTTATGGGCTTATTAATAAAGTTCTAACTATCACCTTAGATAATGCTTCTGCTAACACAACCGCGGCAAATAGCTTAAAATCTAGACTTTGTCCAATTAATCCAACAATTTTTCATGTTAGATGTGCATGCTATATTTTTAACTTGGTTGTAAAAGATGGTCTTAATTTATTTTCTGATGCTTGTAGTAAAATACAACATGCTTGTGGCTATATTTTTCGTGCTCATAAACAAAGTAGAATTCGTGAATTTGCTCAACAATATGCTAGTGCTGGCCTTCCATTTAGAAAAGTTCCAAAAGATGTTTGTACTAGGTGGAATTCTACTCATGAAATGCTTAAAGTTGCTTATGATTATCGGGTGCCCATCCAAAAAGTATTTAATATGCATAATGCTTACCCTGTTGATCAAATTGTTGATTCTGATTGGGATGAAATTAGAGAGCTTACTAAATTTTTAGAAAAATTTTATTATGCTACAAAACAATTTTCTGGTATATACTATCCTACTATTACACAAATATTATGGTATGTTTGTGGAATTTCTGTTGTATTTGGTAAGTATAAAAAAAATCCAACTTATGCACCAGCCATTAAAGAAATAATTTTAAAATTTAAAAAGTATTTTTTCCCTATTCCCGAAGTTTATTTAATTTCTACACTACTTAACCCATCTTTAAAACTAAGAGGTGCAAAGGGTCTTGTTCGTAAAATTTATGAGAATTTAGAAATTCAAGAACATGAAGAACCATCTCTCGAAAATTGCCAAGCTAGCATATATTTTTATGCTAGATCAATGTTTGATAAATATAAATCTATGGATACAACTAGTACTGTAACTGATGCTTCTACTTCTAAGTCTGGAGCAGAAGTTTTATGGGAAGATATGGATGATATAACAGGTTTTGATTCCTCTATTGATGATGAACTTGATTCTTATCTTAATCAAGGATTGGAAAATATTAAAGACGAAGAAGGCAAGGAACAACTTTTGTCATGGTGGAGGGAGCGTGGCAAGGCTTTTCCAACACTTTCAATTATGGCCCGAGATATCCTGGCTATTCAAGCATCATCAGTAGCATCGGAGAGTGCATTTAGCGCGGCAAGATTTCAAATTGGAGATCATAGACATTCATTAGCGGAGGACAGTCTAGAGATTTCCGTCTTATTCAGAGATTGGATTAATTCAGAAAGAAGAAATCTTGGTTTTGAAAAACTAACCACTAGGGAGGAAGAAGAATACAATGAGATACTTACCACTGGGAGCGATGATGGCATGGAGCTCATGGAACATCAATCAACATTGCCAATTCCAGTAGAATGTCCAAGAGATATTATTGATAAGTAACAAAGAAGCTATATAGGAGCTTACAAATATTAGTATGATAATTTGTAATTGGCTACTAAGAGGCCTAGTTCAAACAGAACCCTTCCTAGAAGGTGGCTGCGTAGATTAGGTGCTCTTCAAAAGAATTGTATTTGTATTTGAGATTTGAAAGTTCTATTAATAAAATAAATGGCTCTAAGAGATGAATTATTTTTATGATTTGTCGGTGTTACTTAATAGTTAATACTTTGAAATTATATTAAATAAATTATAACTCTATTATAAATTTATATTTACTAGATTATTTCATTACAAGTCTTTTGTTTTAATATTTTATAATTCTTTACTTATTTTCTAATTTTCTTTTTAACATACTAACATAGTAATATTTAAGTTTATTAAATAAGTCAAAAATCTAGCCGTTGCAAACTTTAAAAACATAGTAATTTTCAAAAACTAGAATTTTTTTTTTTTTAAAAATACACTTAAGGCCCACGAACCCGTCCCGTCCCGTTTGGTTGGCGGGACGGGACGGGACGACCGTTTCGTCCCGTTTGTCCCGTCCCGTTTCGTCCCGTCCCGCCACCGTCCCGCCTAAATCTCGTCCCGTCCCGTCCCGTCCCGTCCCGTTGGACACCCATAATTCCCAATGAGGAAAATGAAACGACTTCTAAAAAACAGTTCCGGGGTTGATAGATTTGATGTTTTCTTGGTCATTAGGGGATGTGCTGAACAGAGATCTTTATAGAGACAAGGTTTCATTCTTTCTTCTTGTCCATATACATGCCTTGAAAGTATTTCTGAGTAGTGTTTTAAAGTTATTATTATTGACCATGTAAAAATATTTATACGATGAACAATCAGATCACTTATAAGGTAGGTAACCGGTAAGTCTTTAGTGAAAATGGTCACTATGTTTTATAAATAGTGTAAATTTACAATGATCAGTGTATATAACTTAAATCTTTTTGAATATTGTCCCCAAACAATTACTGCCTCTGCCGAGGGTCTTCGGAAACAGCCATATCTTCACAAGGTTGGGTAAGGTCTAGCGTACACACTACGCTCCCCAAACCTCGCTTGTGGGATTACACTGGATCTGTTGTTGTTGTAGTTGTATACAAATTACTGCCTCTGTCTTGTTTTTGTATATGGCGAGTTCCGAAGTAGCAAAGGTTATGGCCAATGCCGGCCTGAACTGGATATGGCCTTCCAAGTTTGTTTTTCCGTTGTAGAAAGCGTTTTGTGTTTCTTGCATAATCACATATGATATACATTTGAAGTCGAATTTAGATCTAAGTTAGTGGATTTAGAGTGAGTATGATTATAATATGCGATACATTTTAACTTTATTCATATGTGTACATTTTTTGAGTTGAAAGTAATAAGTTTAGTTGAACCTACAGAGTCGTATTAGATTCAGGTATATAATAATATAACTGCATTGACCAAGAGTGAAGTTGAAGCCTATGTTGCTCGGACTCTCCGAAATGCTGCTGCATCCGTGTCGGTTCCTCCAATTACATTTGAAGGATTCGACATGCTCCCGGCGACATTGTCGGAGAGTCCGAGCAACAGAGGTTGCAGCCTTGCGCAGTGGAAGGTGTCAAGTTTGTTTTAATAGAATCATATGCAGCTCTTCCTCTTGTATTTATGTTCCTAGGGATCCCTGCTCTATTCTCATTAAACATATATTGGTCTCTGTGTGATTTGCCGAGTGATTAGTCCTATTCTAATGTGTTGGGTTAAAGAAATTCCAGAGACATTCTTGTCAACTGATCATTACTTGAAATCATTCATTACTCCACTTATTGAAGAAACACATGCTGATTTGCTCTCAAGCATGTTCACAGTTTCAAAAGCCGCTGCTCTTGAGGTTCTTGGCGTCGAAAAATCAGAAAAATTTAAGCCTCCCAAGAGTTTATATTACGAGATTTTGTTGAAGAGCGCGTTAGAGGGTGAGAAAATTGAAGCAAAATATAAACCCGAGAATGGAGATTTGATTGCACTAACAGATGTGAGGCCAAGAAGAATTGAAGATTTGAACAGGCCTAAGAGATCTTATCACATTGCTATAGTTCAAGGGATTGAAGATGAAGATTCATTTTGTATACCTATCCTGTCTTCGAAGCCTATTTCATTTCAGAAACATAACGTTGAAAAGGGTGAACGAGGGGACAAGCTTTTTGTTGTGATTCTTTCTAATTTGACGACAAATGTGCGAATATGGAATGCTTTGAATTCAGACCAGGAAAATGCAAACCTGAAGATCATTAAGACTGTGCTGACAATTGATCCAAATATTGTAAGTAAACCTCTTTTCTCAACTACGTACACAGGATTTTGCGCATGCAGTGTAGACTGAGTCTGGGATTTTTGTGGTTCTCAGGCTTTACTTTCTGTACTTTGTATCATTTTCATGTAGTGTCAGTCTAGTGTGGGTGTGTGTATACAGTGGCGCAGGCAGGAATTTTTATTAGTGGTGTTGAAATTCATAGAAAAACGGAAATAAAAACTTTAATTGTCATACATCTCGACAAGAAATAGCCTTAGTTCAACGTTTTGCTAGAGTCTTAAGTTAGAAAAGGTCCAGAGTTCAATTCTACTTAATTATACTCCCTCTGTTCCATTTTATGTGAACCTATTTTCTTTTTGGTCCGTTCCAAAAAGAATGACCCATTTCTAAATTTAGTAACAATTTAGCTTAAACTTACAATTCTACCATTAATGAGAAGCTTTTATAACCACACAAATACTCTGGGCCCCTTTTTGACTTGTTTAGGACCACACATTCCAAAAGTCTTCATTTTTTCTTAAACTCCGTGCCCAGTCAAACAAGTTTATATAAATTGGAACGGAGGGAGTAATTTTTAACCACATATATATGAGAAAAATACATGCTAGTTGAGGTTCGAACCTCTGACCTCTTAGAGCAAAATGCACATAACCAACGCGCTAGGAGACAATCCATATCAAGTGGTGTCATTTTTTCCTACTTATCCGTTTTCTCACCGTGTTAATACATATTTTTAATAGTAAAATTTTTCAACAAAGTGGTGTCGCGTGACACCGCTTCATTGAGTGCATCCGCCCCTGTATATATGTGTGTGTGTGTTGATTCTTAAAAATTATATTATTTACATGCATATGTAAGTAAAACTATTACGAAGCAATGTCGGATGACACCTCTTACTAAGGGGTACCTCTTCCATAATTTAGTCTTATTCTTTTATTTTATAGCCAGTCTGAAGGCATATTCTGAACTCTTCCTCGATTAGTTTTGATTCCAATGATCAATCTTTTGACGTCCGTTGAATTTTCAATTGTCCACAGGGGGAAGTAGATTGCTCTCTTTGCTCCGGCAAAGAATCTAAAACTAATGCTATATCAAATTCAAGGGCCGTGATTCAGTCTTTTGGGCTAGACGATGCTCAACAAGAGGCGGTTCTAAGTTGTATTGCAACAAGAGAATGTGGTCACCGGAACACAGTTAAGTTAATTTGGGGTCCTCCAGGAACTGGAAAGACTAAAACAGTTGCCTCCTTAATCTATGTTCTGTTAAAAATGAAATGCAGAACTCTGACTTGCACTCCTACGAACATTGCTGTGTTGGGAGTTACAAAGAGGCTGATGCAACATGTACTAGATGGTCTAGTATACGACACTTATGGTTTAGGAGACATAATTTTATTTGGTAACGGGAAAAGAATGAAGATCGATGATCATGAAGAAGATCTGTTCGATATATTTCTTAAGAACCGTGTTGATGCCCTTGTTAGCTGTTTGTCACCAAATACTGGGTGGAGAATTGGTGTGCAATCCATGATAAGTTTGCTCGAGGATCCTGAAGAGCAATATAGTAAGTACAAAGAAAATGAAGAAAAAAAGGAAATTGACGTAGATGAGGAGGAGGAAGAAAAAGGAAACATTACCAATGATCAAGTACTAGATAAGAATAGGAAGAATAAGTTGTGGAACAAATTTGTCCTTGAACCATTGAAAAAGAACAAGAAGGCGGCATCAAAAGATACACAAATTTCTCAAAGGAGGAACAACTCGAGAGCAGATGATGAAGCGAACAAGATCAAGAACGAAGGGGAGGCAAGCAAAAAAGAAGCCATTGTTTGGACATTTGAGGAGTTTGTTATCAAAAGATTCAAATGGATACAGAACCAGTTAATATTTTGTCTGACAAGCTTGTACACTCATGTACCTACTTCGTTCGTTCCACTAAAAGTAGCTAAGGAAATGATCAGACTACTTGCAATGCTTCAAACTCTTGGAAAGTTGTTTGCCACTGCGGAAACTTCTGGAGGGTTAAGAGAAATTCTACACGAGTTGTTACAAGGAATAAGGCGATACGTTTTGCTAATCTTCTTGAAACACGGAATGCCTAAAAGTATTGAAATTTCTTAGTGCGAGTATCTCTCTTCCCAATTTAATCTTTGACTACCAAATTCGAAGTTTTTGTCTAAAAGGTGCATGCTTGATTTTCTGCACTGCTTCTAGCTCATCGAAATTACACACAGACGGAACGACACCACTTGAGATGGTGGTAATTGATGAAGCTGCTCAGCTGAAAGAATGTGAATCCACTATTCCTTTACAACTCCCAGGTCTGCGCCATGCTATACTCATCCTTGATGAGAAACAATTGCCGGCTATGGTTCAGAGCAAGGTTATCTTTTAATCTTTTCACGGCTTGTTTTTAAAATTACTGTGCTGTTCTTATGTCATTGACAACTTGTATCTGTTATATGCAGATCTGTGAGAAGGCTGACTTTGGCAGAAGCTTATTTAAGAGGCTGGTAATTTTAGGACACAAGAAGCACCTTCTTAATGTTCAATATAGGATGCATCCAAAAATCAGTCTGTTCCCAAATAGTGAGTTCTATGAGAAGAAAATAACGGATGGTCCTAATGTAAAAGCCGCGATATATGAGAAGAGATTTCTTGAAGGAGATATTTTTGGCTCCTATTCATTTATTAATGTAAGTAGTGGAAATGAGGAGATTGATGACAAGCACAGCACGAGAAATATGGCAGAAGCTTTCGTTGTATCTGAGATAGTTGCCAACCTTCATAAACGTAATACACTTTATCTTTTATGTACTTAATTTCAGCTTAAGATGAACATTTCTAGTTTTCTCTATTGTATCTTGGTACCCGTGGCAATTGAATAGGCAAATCTGATATTATTATCTGAATTACAGAATCTGTATCTTCGAAACAAAAAGTCCGTGTTGGTTGTATATCTCCTTACAAGGCTCAAGTTTTTGCTATTCAGCAAATCCTTGGCAAGAAATATAACACAGATGTTAACAGTGACTTCTCAGTGAATGTTCGTTCTGTTGATGGTTTTCAAGGGGGTGAAGAAGATGTTATAATTATCTCCACTGTTCGTTGTAATGGACGTGGATCGGTTGGTTTCCTTTCTAATCTTCAGAGAGCAAATGTAGCACTGACTCGAGCAAGGTACTAATTTGCTGCACAACATTATTGCATTTCAAAATGTTTGAATATCAAGGATGGTTCGAATTGGCTATTCTTATTTATTGTTGTCTTTCAATGGCCGTTTTGCAAGAAGCTAATATATGAACATATCCGTAATTGTTTCCTTGGCTTTTTATGCAGATACTGCCTTTGGATATTGGGGAACGGCGCAACTTTGGTTAACAGTGGCTCCATTTGGATAGACGTTGTTACTTTCATGTTACTGATGACAAAAGATTGAATCAAGCAATTACAAATGCAACCATTGAGCTTGGCCAAATAGAAACATTACTTAGAACGGACCTATATTTGAAGCAGTTAAGTGGAAGGTATACTGCTTTGCCTTCATTTGGTCTATGATTTCTTTGCTCATTACTTGATGGCCAAATAGAAACATTACTTGATGGCCAAAATTTACAAAAGTGTTAGTTTTTGTCTTGAGGGCTTAAACTCATTTGTTTTGTTTTCAAATGGAGAGCTAACAGGTTTTTTGCTGTTAATTGTTGACCGTCTAAAGCACTAAGATATCATTTAGAAAATTCCCTTTTACTGGAAATTGTTGCTCCCTGATTGTTACTATGAGATTCTACTTTTTCTCCTCTTTTTCCTTATCGTCTTTTGTCTCTCTCATCTGTCTTTCTCCCCCCTCTTTCTTCTTCTTCTTCTTCTTCTTCTTCTTCTTCTTCTTCTTCTTCTTCACCTTTAGCCGAGGGTCTATCGGAAACAGCCTCTCTACCTCCCCAGGTAGGGGTAACACATTACCTTCCCCAAACCCCACTTGTGGGATTATACTGGGTATGTAAAACTTCTTTACACTTCCAGTGTTTTATAAGCTAAAACCGTATAAAAAATATACACATTTTAGGATATTGAAGTACTACTCCATTTAAATGTTTAGTCTTTTTTTTTTCCGGATCTAAATTGCTGGTTTTTAGGATAAATGAAAACCATTGAAATGGTGACTTTACAAGTCTTCTTGTTGTGTAGAGACTTAATACTTCCAATGACTTGGCCAATTGCTGGAAATGCTGTCTCAAGAACTAGCTCAGCTCATGGTGATCGAGACCAGAACTTGGCACGTCACCTGGCAGCTATGAGTTTGAGGGACAAACCAGGATCCTCTTCTCACACCATATTTGTAGCTGTCTATGTTGATGATGTTATCATCACTGGGGATGATTCAGTTGAGATAGCCGATTTAAAATCATTCCTTGATAAGCAATTCAGAATCAAGGATCTTGGGAAACTCCATTACTTCTTGGGCCTAGAAGTCCTCTACAAGTCAGATGGAATTATCATGTCTCAAAGGAAGTTCACCCTAGATTTGTTAAAAGAATATGACTGTTTTGGCTACAGTAGTCTGTCTTCTCCCCTTGACCCTGGTGTGAAGTTGAAGGGTGATGAAGGTACTCTCCTTCCAGATCCTACATATTACAGAAAGTTAGTGGGAAAACTGAACTTCCTCACCAACACACGACTTGACATAGCCTACAGTGTGCAGCTTCTGAGTCAGTTCATGCAAGCACCCAGAGATACACATCTGAAAGCTGCATTTCATCTCCTCAGGTATCTCAAGAGTGATCCCACTCTTGGTATATTCTTTTCCAACAACACTGACTGCTCCATTAGTGCCTACTGTGACTCTGACTGGGCTTCATGCCCTGATTCTAGGAAGTATGTTACTGGGTACATAGTTTTGGTAGGAGATAGCCCCATTAGTTGGAAGTCAAAGAAGCAAGAAACTGTTTCCTTATCTTCAGCTGAGGCAGAGTACAGGTCGCTCAGGAAGGTAGTAGGAGAATTGGTATGGTTGAACAGATTATTTGAGGAGTTCACTGTTTCACAGTCCAGCCCCATTGCTGTGTTCTGTGACAGTCTATCTGCTATTCACATTGCTCATAATCCAGTTTTTCATAAAAGGACAAAACATATCGAGGTTGATTGCCATTTTGTACGGAACAACTTCAGGAAGGCTTGATTTCTCTCCACCATGTGGCCACCACTAATCAGCTAGCTGATATACTCACCAAGGCACTTACTGGAGTCAAACATCATGCCGTACTTGGCAAGTTGGCTGTGAGATCCTCCCATCCAACTTGAGGGGGGGTATTGAGATAATTAACTTATTTGCTGAGTTGTATTAGTTGTATTTGCTGAGTTGTATTTGTATAGCTGAGTTGTAATTAGATTAGTTGTGCTTTTCTTCCTTATTTTCCACGTGTGCATATATACACACACTTTGTAATTCTGAAGTTGAGAGAGTCATTTTTAATATCAACTTTTCTCTTTCTGTTCTCCCGGATATTTTCTCTCTCTCTCTCGAACGTTCCAAACCGCCATTGAAGCTCTTGCATGAGCTTAATCTTAGGTCAAAGTACAAATCTCAATAGTACTCCTTTTTTGGGTATCAGATCAATCGAGTTACTAACTCTACTCATTGTTACCGTAATTTTAATTCCAAGATGAAGGAAGAAACCAGGAATGTTCCATGAAGTAAAACCAAACCTACTCGCTGACGATTTTATGGAACGGTTTACGCACGACAAGTCCAAATAGGAGCACAAACCAAAGCACAATTGCACAAGAGAGGTCAAATATGAAAGAGGATACAATGGAATGAAGATACAGGCAGATCTACCATCTATACAATGGAATCAACGCATTTTTCTATCAAGTTTGATACTTAAATTTTGATTCAGTGTTACAACTATAGCCTATACAAGACTATCGTTAATGGTTACATTGCTGAAGTTATTCAGAGGAAATGTAACAATGGTTTATATATATATGGTTTTCAAAATGCACCTCCTTCACTTTCACAAGTACCAAAACCCCTTGCAATATTTTTCAAGTGCATGTTTGTGGTTTGAGATTTAATGCTATATTTAGCCTCGTGATCACGCCCAACTATGCCTTATTAAAAAGGACTAAGCGGACGTTGCAAATATAATCTGAGTATTCATCATAAAAAAGGACTTAGCTACTCATACTAGTGTTCATCATAACAATAACCAATTTCATCACAAATGGTAAAATACAAAAGGAAGAAAGGAAGAACTCGATGTTGAATTATTCTCCTTGCCTCTTGCCTCTCCTTGCCTTCAACTAAGCTATAAAAACCTTGATAATGTTCCTTTGGGCGAGCTGGACCTTTTATAGGTTAAGTGGAATTACCCCGAACTTCCAAGTTTACCCCTGAATTTTATTTTTCGGAACTGGACCAGCGCGGTCGCGCTAATGGGCGCGCTACTGACCACGCATATGGCATAACTTTCTGCCTCGAACTCCTAGGCTAGCGCGGTCGCGCTAGTGGGCGCGCTAGTCTGGGTCATCATTTCAGACCTTCTTTCTCTCTTCTTCCAACGTACTCAGCTCCGAGGGGCTTCCCTTGCTTCAATTTAGCTCCAATTACCGTTCTAAGTCCTCATGCACGCAACTCGCTCCTGCAAAACATGAAATTCACAATTAGAGCCAATTTATCATCATTTAACTATCCTATAATAGGGAAACGTAGTCAAGTTGGGGCATAAACAGTCGCCAAATTACATGAATCTAGCCTAGTATCAACACCCCACACTTAAATCATTGCTAGTCCTCGAGCAATCCACCACACTCTATAAAGGTTCCTTCACTACGCTTTTCCCCTAAAGTATCACACTAAGAACAAATTACCAAAGTTACTCCTAGTAGTGAACAATCTTTTCCTCAAAAGTCGACTCTCACGTGCCGTGCAATATTCATACTTACTCAAATTACTCTATACAAAAGTCAAGACTTACCTTTCATTCGTGAATCACATGTCCTCACATCACACAAGAGAGTAGTTCCACAAATAATAATATTAGGAACAATTAGGAACTCAGATAGACAAAATTCGCTCACTCTCAAAAAGAACATTCACATGGCAACAAAGATGCGCCATAGGCTTGCCCGTAGTATACTACTCTACTAATCGAGCTCATTCAGTCTAAGATCAATTAGGCTTCATTTGGTTGTAATGTAGGCTAAGGGACGGGTAGGATATATTTGGATATAGTGACTAACCTCCCTAAGCACTTTTAATACAATCACATTAACCTTCAAAATCATACTTATGTCAACCAGACATTCCACCACATTTTTATTTATAACATCTCACTCCATTAGGTGCAATTGTATCAAGTCACCACTTATCAACTACTACATTTACTCATTCTCTCTCTTTTTTTTTTAAGTGGTGCTTATTCTTTTACTTTTCCAAAGACTACACATTTTCTCTATTTCATCGGTTCAACTCAAAAACCAAACCACCACCCCACACTTTAGCTTTTGCATATTTCAATACCATTCAAGTGCTTATGGGAGGTAGAGGAGTTCAAACAGATGGCCATTCAAATAATTGGGTAAGGTTCGCAATGTGGTTGCCAAAGAAACAGGCTTATAGGCTCAACGGGGTTGACTACGATGTATTACATTTAGGTGGGTCTACTTTATATATCTGGCTTAACAAAGAAATGCCTATATCACTTCTAAGACTGAATGAAGCTACTATTTCGCTTTGCAAACACATGGGGCAAGTTCTAGGCATCAAATGTAAAGCATAGAATACAGTACAACTCACACACACATGGCACATGACTCACTCCAGATTGACTTATCAAGACACTCTCGGTTGAGTATTCAAGTCAGTTACAAACATACAATTTAAGGCACTTTAGCAAGAATCAACCACTGAGACTAAGCGTTACACTCTAGTGTCTACTGTGTTCAGGTGTATCAACGCCAAAGGTTTCTCTTTCTATTTCAGCTCATAGCCCATCAATACTAACTAAAAACTAAAAACAAAATAAACAAATACTAACTACACCCGGTTCAAGCAAAGCCCTTGGAAAAGAACCGTGGCCCAAAGAAAAACAAAGGGGGAGTTACTACACTACCTAAAACAAATCAAAAAAAATTGGTATTTTCTTTAGACTTACTTCTCTTAAGAAAACTGTCTAGAAGATCCGT